GAATGTGAAGTTAAAAAATTATGAATATATAGCTTTATAATTATGAACATATAGTTCAGTAATTATGAACATAGAGTTCTGTAATTGTGAATGTAGAGTTCAATAATTATGAATATGAAGTTCAAAAATTATGAATATATAGCTTTATAATTATGAACATATAGTTCAATAATTATGAGCAAGGGCGGAGGCAGAATTTGTTGGTGCGGGGGGCCATTCACAATTTGTTAGATCCCTTTTGGATCTAATAATGAACTGAGAATAATTAACTCCATTGTTTTATCCTCAAATTTATTGTTCAACTTTTGCAACTGAGAATCGACCATCGCATTAAAAATATCAACTTTGTAATGATATCCAATTGTTAATTCATATTGCTGATGCGTAACCCTTCATCTTCTTGCAATATATTGAGCATCAAAATCCGGCACAGTTATGTTAATTGATAGTTTCACAACTTGCAAATGGATTTATTTGGGATTCTTTCTTTTTAAAAAAATCAATCCTTTGTGTCTTTTTCATTTCAACTCAATCTTCCTGTTAATTTTTTTGATATATCAATTCAATTAACTAAAACGAACCAAATAAGTAAATAGAAAAAGATTAAAGTAGTAGAAATTTAAAGATTCTTGTAGCAAAATGATAATTTATTATTATAATAAGAACAATTGTAATGTATTTTATTTACAAATTAAAAAGCTAACTAGATAGCAAATTAGCAACCTACTGTCCAGTTGCATAATTAGCAATATAATTCATTGTCCACAGCCAGCCTTGTGATGCAAACTGAATAAACTTTTATCATCTTTTGTGTGCAAGTAAAATGTAGTGTTGTCTTATTGACAAATAACATCCCCAAATAGCTATTTGGGTTCAGAATTCTAACAATTACTATCTTTTCTAACAATTCTCTATTTAATTCTTTATTTGTATCAAGTTTGAGTGTTGTACAGAATTACAAAAATTCAAATGCTTTAAAAACTATAAATGCATTCAAGAAATGGAAAATTACATGTAGATTTGGAGCTTGAAGTTGTAAAAAGAACACGATTAATGCAAAGGTTAAAGTGCGAATTGCGGAAATTCGAACTGTGCCGTGGGCTCTGTTCTACTGCAGTCTAGTTTAAATGGTTTGAGAATTGAGATTGAAAGTCAAAAGGCAAATAGTATAAAGCTTATTTAGAAATTTACTTTGAGGGGGGCAAAATAACAAATATTTGGGGAGGGGGCCAAAAAAAAAATGCTATAGAACTATTTTAAAAAAAAAAATAATTGGTGAGGGGGGCCAAGGCCCCCTCCTTCTCTCAAGTGGCTCCGCCACTGATTATGAGCATAGAATTGTGTCCACATTGCAAGGTGGACACAGTTCCACAGCATAACGATTGAATAAAGTGGCCTACATACTTTTCGTCCACAATAATGAAATCATTGATTTTTTTTTTTAAATTTCCATTCGTTGTTGAGACAAATTGTTTTGAGAGTTTGTCAATGACAATTGCTGTCAATAGATGATGATAATAAATAATTCAAAATATAAGGTTACAATAGATATTATTATAATAATATAGTAAAAATTAACTTTCAAATTTCTTTAGAAGTTTTCATGCATTGATAAAAGCATAATTGAAATATTAAGTTTTGTTTTCAATAATAAAAAGAAGATTAATTAAACGAAGAAAAAAAATTGAACTTAAATTTATTATTTTTTTTAATGAAAGAAAATCAAATGATTATCAAAGTTCCTGGTTTATAATTATTGAATGCTATGTATATAATCGGACTAATTATTTGACCAAAGTTTATGTTAAATTTTATATTTTATTTTTAATATATTTTAACATATCCATAGTATATGTTTAACAATTATGCTAACTCTAATTGGAATGGGGTTCGAACCTAAGACTTTTCTTATAGAAATTAATGGGTAAGTTAAGAATAATAAATAGTTAACGGAATATTCCGTTAATAAAGTTTATACTAACGGAATTTAAGGTCATTTAAGGAAAGAAAATAATATAATAAAGGGTAAATAAGGAAAATCATTAAAAATACTAAAATCAAAATACTATGAACCATTCATTTTAAGAAACAAAGTAGTACTGACATTTTTTTATTCCAGTTAAGGACCTAATATTATTGGCTCATATTAGAATTGTATTGTAGATAGATTGTAGAGGTAGATAATATGGGCTTCATTATGTTATTGTTTACATGAATACTTGAAGTGCAAGTTTAGTTTTTTCTTTTTAGGGCCTAAAAGAAAAAGATAAACAAAACGCATACTAGACCAATGGTAAATGGTACTATTGATGAGATAGTACGATTTGTTTGTTTGTTTTTTTTTTTTTTTTTTTTTTTTTTTTTTTTTTTTTAAAGCTAAGTTTAATCATAAGAAAGTGGACTCCACCCTTTAAAATCTTACTTAATTAACAAATGAGCTTTAGTCTTTTTTTCTTTGGTTAGAGAGGTTTATGTAGAATTTTTATTATTATAGAATTCAATTATAATATTCACTCACCAGCAATGTTTCAAAACACATTAGGCGCCCCTAGGCGCCGATATTTTATTTTATTTTTTTATTTAAAAAAATTAAACTAAAAATTGTAAAATTCACTAATAAAACATAAGGTTCCTCTAATTTTTTCTTACAAATTATTTACGTAAGTGGTTGTAAAATCGTTCAAAAGATTGTTACGTTGAAACCATCTAAATACATAAAAAAAAATTAAAATTAAGAGCAAAAGAAGCATTTTTTGGAGAAATTAGAGGGCCAAACCGCCTTTGGCTGTTTGCGGTGGATAGATCTTGAAAAAAAAAAATGCAATTTCAAAATTTTTTTTTGTCCAAAACGGACAACCGAGTCAAAAGTTATGCCTTCCCAAACTTTTCACACTTTACAACGCAAAAAAAAATAAATTAAATGGCGACCACGGAGGAGGCCGATTTCGGCCTTCTTCGCGGCGGCCAACAGACGCCTAGGTGCAATTTTTACAACAATGCTCACCAGATTATTTTTTTCAAAAAATTAAACAAAAACTTTTTTTTTTTAATTGTAATTTGCATTTTTACCCATAAAACTTAATGTCCATTGTCATGTAATAGTGTAATACCCAACACAAGAGTTCTTATATCCATCATGTATATTATCGGATAGGCCGGACACATACATTATTACACCTATTTATATTTATCATATGTATGGTCAGTTAGTCACATAATACACTTGTCGCATACTCATACCAACTCATGTATATTCACTGTGCCTCTTAAAATAGTGGTCTAGTAAATGAACAGTTGCACTTGAAATTCTTTTTTAACAACATAATTAATGTTGGACTCTTTATACGCAAAAAGTATAGTTTGGTGTAGACTTGATTTAATTTTTCATTAGCCTGTAACCATGTTTATGGGATCCAGAATTAATATAGTCCAACAAGGCATGTGATCATTTTTGTCAAAAAATTTATTATTTTATTAACACAAATTAATGGCTATGATGAATATACGTATGAAATTGTGTTAAAGACATAAAACTATGTTGAGCCATTGTCCCATTGAAGGTTTTGAACCCCTGACATTTCAAAAAGTCAAATACATGCTCAACCAGCTACACTAACTCATTTATTATTAACATTATTATACTTATACAAAAACCTGTAATATATATATATATATATATATATATATATATATATATATATGATTAACAGTAACTTGTTTCTTCCTGTTGTTTGGACAACTATGCACGCAATTTGGATATTCTTTGCATTAGTAGGGGGAATATAACACGTCGTGCACATATGTAAATTTACCTGTGCACATGTGTGTGTTTATTTGTTTGCTAGTGTGCACTCTAACACTCACAGTATGCGTAATACTTTTTCCATAATTCAATTATACTTCCAAAAGTAAGGCACGCACCCAGTTAAACCCACACATGCACAAATCTATTGCTCCATTATCCCTGTGTGCACCCGAACTGCCAACTTTGTGCACTAATAGACATGTAACTAAATTCATATGTAGTGTTTGTTCCAATCTGTATACGTCTTCATACATGTCTGCAGTCCATTAATTATCATTACTGCTGCTGCACCAAGGGGACTCAACTTTATTTTTTTTTAAATTACTAAATTCACACATTCCACTTGATCATAGTGTCTTAAATTTTCAAACATCTCAACTAGGTTCACTCTAAATTAAACATGTCTTCCAAATAATGAAAATAGAAATATAATAAACGAATACTAATTTGTCCAGACAATTCTGGCTGTCATAGTGGCCAACATCGTCGCATGTGTTGCACTTCATCCCCCATTTTTTCTTCTTCTCGGCAGCTTTTTCTTGCTTTTCAATCTCTTCCCACTACCTTTGTAGAATTCAATTCCTGGTTCTACTATTTCAAAATTTTGTCCAACATATGGTGTATTTTTCTCATTACTAGTAGGTCACCAGTATTTGGTTCCATTTGGGGATATGTCCCTGACACATTCATGTAATCCTCCTCTAGATTGCTCCTCCCCTGTAATGACAATATTTACTGTTTGGATGTCAGTCCCCGCACCTCTGATTTATATACAGACGGAAGAAAAATGCAAGATTGCACGTGCATACAGTTTATCCCTGTTGCGCACACAAATTACCAAATGTGCACATTCATGCACTGACACCAATTTGTGTGTGCACGATTGTTATTATATGATTATAAATTCTACAGTAAACCTCATACTGTTCCGATCAAACATGGCTATGAAACTCACTAGTACAAAATAGAGCAAAGAAATATGATTTTAGGCTACCCTTCTTTAAACAAGGGTAGTGTATTGTTAAAAAAAAAAGAGACAATGGCATAATTGTAAATAAATGAATATGAAACCGCTACCCTTTTAAAAAAAAAGGGTAGCGATTTTTTCTTCCAAAAAAAAGACGGTGGCATAATTGTAAATATGAATACTTTCCACTGCCCTTCCCCGTAGAAAGGGTAGCGGGGAAACAAAAAAAAAAAAAAAAAAAGATCTCGCTGACCTAGCTGCGCTCACTCTCATATCTCACCTCTCCTCAACGCGTCTTCCTGCCTCCACCGTCACTCTCACCACACCTCCGTCGTCGCTGCGCTCCTTCCCACAGGCCACACCTCCGTCGTCGCCCTCACCAGCGCCTCCCTCATCCTCCCACGACGCCGCTTACACCGCCTCTCTCACCACGACTCCCTCAGCCTTGACCAAAAACCGCCGCCGCCACCAAGATAAGGATCCAACGCCTCTCTCATCAGCCACCCACGACCCCGCCACCACCCTCGCCACCGCCGCGGCTGCTTCTGTGACTTCCACCGTCGGCAGCTGGTCAACAGAACTGTACGTGCAGGTAATTTTTTTTTGTTAAAATTATTTTTTATAATTATCATTGTAATATATATTATATTTGTTAATTTTTATTTCGAATTTTTAGTTATTTGTTGTTATTTTTGTTATACCCTAATATGTGTAAAGATATGAATTTAATTGTTATTTTTGTTGGGATTATATAGTAATGTGTGCATATATGGTATAATATATGACTAGAAGTACGAATTTTGGTTATGAATTTTGATTATTATTATTTTATTTAGAATTTTGACATTTTAATTATTTATTTTTGAATTTTAATAAATGTTGTGTGAAATAGGTATTTTGATAAATTGTTTATTTTTTATTTGATGAAATATGTATTTGATAAATTATTTATGATAAATATGTTGTTTGATGAATAAATATGGCATAATTGTATATTTGATGATAGGTATTTATTTGAACATAGCTGGCATAAATCGGGAACATTGATATGTTTGGTTCTCAGCCGATCACAAGTAGGAAGAGAGGAGGAACAAAGCTGCCAAAAGAAAGTCTTTAGCTTTGGAGGGAGTTTGAATTTCCAGAATCTGGTCCAAATTGGGACTTGGACAGAACTGAAATCACCTGCAAGAGTATTCTAGCAACTACGCACAGTGTAAGTACCCTTATCATTCTCCGTCCATATAATTTTATCCTTTTAACTTGCTGTCTGGAAGAGGGATACTCTTTATGAGGTTCACATCACTTTGGTTGAAAAGAGTATTAATAAGGGTGTCATTCCATGATGAATTTCCAGGTTGGATAAGGCCAGCAACTTTAGTGATTCCAGATTGAATGGGTGCAAGGGGCTGAATGAATGGTTGGTTCTTGTTTGGCATAGATGTCAACCTTTATGCATTGGTGTTTGATGAATCTGTTTTAAATGATGCAGTAAGTGAGGAGTTTGGTAATTCTCTTTGCTAATTAGCTTCTTTTTTTTTTTTAAATGTTTTTGTGTTGCACAACTGGAAGATGGAAATTTCTCTATACAGGTCAGTTTAGTTGAAATGCTTTTCTAATTAGACTAATGTAGGAGATCTGGCCAAAGTGGTTACAGATACGCAGTTATCTATTTATTTGTGCATATTTTTTGAAATGTAGGAGATCTCCTCGGTCCTCTCCTAGTAACCAGGACAGAGCTGGACCATCTGATTTTCAGTATTTCTCTGAATCCTTAAGTAGTTTAGATGATGATCTTGAAAGAGTGAAAACTGGATTTAGAAAAAAGAAGAAATGGCATGCTTCAGATGATGATTTTTCCTCACGTTCAGCTTAGGCCTGCAGACAGTGTAGAGAAGGCTTCTAAAACTGCTGAGATAAACCCGAGGAAAATCAAGATGAGGAGGTATGTTTCTTGTACATTCTATGACCTATTGACTTTGACTGCTCATATTATGATACTAATTATCTAACTCTTAATCACAAGTGACCCAAGTCTGTGGTTTCTATTGATCTGTTGAGTCTGAGGATAGGGCATCACCATCACTTTAACTTGTATTGTTTATTGGCCATTGGCCATGGTGTAGCTTTGTTTATTATTATTATTATTATTATTATTATTATTATTATTATTATTATTATTATTATTTACTTTCAAAGGTACAGATGTATTTTAGTTGTTAACCTCCCATAAATGCTTGAAAAATGCATCTCCTCTACCCAAAGTGGAACAATTCTGTGTTAGTTTTCAGCAAAGTATATTAGTTCTAACTTCTCTACTAGAATTTTTATGATGGGCTTTTTGTGTGATCAAGTTGGATTACCCGTTTTTCTATTCTGTTTCTGGTTCAGACTAGAAAAGTAAATCCAAGAGAACTCAACTCATATTTGAAGGATAAACGCTTTAAAGCGAGTTAAAGAGCAAGCTGCTCTCGAAGGACGAAAGTTGGATGAGGTAGATACTCATGGATTGCTGTTAGAATTTTGTTTAGTAGTCTCTAGCATGCATATTAGTATATAATGCAGTAAGTGTTATTACAGGTAGTTGAAGAATTGTGGGGTTCATTGAGTCAACTAGCTGTTTCTGTTGCATCCCGCAAAGTTGCCCCAAACCATGCTCATCTTCATGCCATCAAAAGTAGAAGGGGTGTAATGGGAGAGTGATCTGTTGAGAAGGTAATTCTCTAAATTAACTACTTTAGTCACCTTAATTCTATGTCATATGTGTGTTTTGTCTTAATGTATTCTAATGTTTTATTGATTCTTGTTTCTTCCAACTCCCATACTTCGTATAAGCATTGTCCTTAAAATCTCTAGATTCAATTTTTTTTTAATAAATAATTGTTGACTCTGGGTTGTTTGATTGGAAGTTTTCTAACTTTAATGACTTTCTATACTATGAGGATTATTGGGTTTTTGTCTTGTGACCTTAAAATAGTTGAATTTTGATGGGTGTCTAAGTTTTCAATCTGTATTAGGCTGGTTTGGTGCACAGCGTTCATTTTACATAATAAGATTAAACTAAGAAGTTCTTGCAGCAAACCCCAACAAGATCTCTGTTAAGGCTTATTTGAGTAGAGATAAATGGGATAATCAATTAGAGAGACAAATGCTCTATCTTCTTAACATATGTCTAAAAGAAGCAATTATTGGGTCAAGGACTGTTGGTCATTATAGTTTTCTGGTATGAGTTTAGGTATACTTGACTTTTATTGAACTATAATACTATAGAAGCACTTGATGATCACTTGATAGCTGTCCAAAGGGATCATTAACATAGTTCCCAAATAGAAGAAAAGAGAATAAGAACTTTGACATTTGAGGATAAGCTGATATGTCTAGGTGACAGATATTAGTAATCAAACTACTAACTAAAGGAATTCCTTCAGGTTTTAGATTGTTTAGTTGTTATTAGTGCTTTTCTTCTCCAGTTCCCCCATATTTGTTTCCACCTTCTAGAGAACCTGCAACTATAGTTTGAATTTGGTAATTTTATTGTTGTGAAACATTATGAAAATCTCTCAAAAAACTGTAGGAATGAGGAATAGACTTGGATTCTCTGTGAATGAAAATATGCTTGCCTATTTAGATGATAATTTTTTTTCTAAAGTTAATATAGCAAAATGTTTGGGAGAGTTAATTTTCTTCTGATTCTTGCTCATGAGCTATTTAATTTACTATTTTATATTATGAAGATACTTAAGTTTTTTTTCCTGGCATAAAATGACTATTGCAGTGTACTACAGAAGTTGGATCTGCAATGTCCTATTCTTTTCCTGATATATTTGACTTAGTTTTAGCTCCCTTGTGATAGATTTATAACACCTGTTAAACTTGGAATCAATTAGCTGTGATTCATGTGCTTGGCTATTAATGAATCTAATTTATATTTATATATATCAGTAATGCACTTATTTGTTTCAAGTGAATTTCATACATCTTTTTTTACTATATACATTGTACTAGTTCTGCTTAATCGTTCTTATATTGGTTGTATTGAAATATTGATGATTATCATTAGTTAATTAGGATATATTATTAATGGTTGGATTAAATTGATTATTGTGAATGATTAATTTAGATTATGTTGAATATGGGCGAAAGATTTTGTTGTGGATTGCGTTATATTATGAATATTATTGTAGGATTGTAGTATTATGTTGATATGTAGTGTATGAATTCCGTATAGGATTTAAAAAAAAATAAAATTGGGAAATTTAAATATAATAATGATTTTTTTTTTAATTTATAAAAAACAATCCGCTACCCTTCCTTTTAAAGAAAGGTAGCGGATTGTTTTAATAAATTAATGGTATTCGCTACCCTTCCTTTTAAAGAAGGGTAGCGGATTCTTAACTTTCCGCTACCCTTGTTCAAGGGTAGCAAAAAGCTCAGGGTTTTCAGCGACCCTAGTATCCGCTACCCTTGTACAAGGGTAGTGGATAGCCCTTTACAAGGGTAGCGGATGTGCAAATCTGTACTAGTGACTCATCCATTCACTTCTACTCACAATGCATACATTATGAAATACCAAAGTTTTCCCCACACCAACAAAATTTCCAATGCATATGCAGTAAACTAATTGTCTACAATGTGTGCTTGCATAATTGCAACTTTTCCATCCCAAAACATATTCTTAAACCTGTACTCATAATTAGGGGTTTCGATTGCTATTATACGCATACATATTCACCAATTTAATATTATGCAATTCACATTATTAATACTGAGTCATACATATAGTGATGTACATACAGTTCAATAATTTATCGCACACTATCCTTAAACTATGATTCAATTTGAGATGTTTACCTGGTAGTGAAGGAGACATAAACTCCAAATTCACATCCATGAGTTCTCGTCGCAGTGCTATGTCGGAAAATCGCTTCTGTATGGTGTTTGCCGTAGGGGTGGATTGCATTTCTATTTGTTTGTTTTTTTTTTTTGAAAGTTACTGGCTCTATTACATTGTAGTATCTGTTCATATACTTTCTCAACCTAATGAAACACAAAGAACCAATAACGCCTCCACTGAGGCTCGAACTCATAATCTTCCAAATGGAAGTCCAACCCGGGTACCATTAGACCACATAGTCCTGGTTCTATTTGTTTGTTTAATCCTACTATAATTAATCTTCTATAATTTAGGATAAACTAGTTTTTGCCTTGTGCGATGCACGGCATAAAATTTAAGTAACTTTATTGTTTATAAGATTTTAAAAATAATAAAATAAAATATTAATTATGAAATAAAAATTCATTCTAAAATATATTTTTCTTTAACAATAATAAATTGGTTGTTATATCGAACATCACATACTATATATTATAAAGATGTGTTATTAGATACCACATGAGATTTTAAAATTTTACATTAAAATAATTATATATATATATATATATATATATATATATATATATATATATATATATATATATATATATATATATATATATATATATAGACACACACACACACACATTTTTATAACAAAATTTAAACAAATTAGGAAATCAAACAACATACAATAAAAATAATGAAATTAAATTTTATTATATATAAAACATTTATTAATATGATTTGCAATTAAAGCCTATAGTAGATATACTTGACAATATATAAATAAAAAATACAGTATCAACATCCTACATTGAAACTAACTACAAAAATCTTTTCTTAAACATTGCTTAATTATAATAATTATATACATACAGCATATATAAATCTAAACTAAATATGATATATTTTCATTTCATGAAAGAAAAAATAAAACCTGCAATGCTAAGTCCAATAAACATTTAATTATCTATCCAGGAAAATTATGTTGTGCATCCGTATGCACCATGCATGGTGCATAGGATGCAAAAACGACGTCGTTTTATTAAAAATGCGTGTCTCCCCTTAAAAAAAAAAAATTCAGGTTCGATTCCCAGCAACAACATATGAACTAAAATTCCAGAATCGATGAACTATAATTCCATCGATTCTGGAATTTTAGTTCATATGCTGTTGCTGGGAATCGAACCTGATTTTTTTTTTTTAAGGGGAGACGCGCGTTTTTAATAAAACGACATTGTTTTTGCATCTGTATGCACCATGCATGGTGCATACGGATGCACAGCACAACTACTCATCTATCCATATAACCCAATTACGTTGCATTTCAGCCCAATACCCGAGCCCATTAACCCAATTATAAAAGATTAAAAGCTGATTACCAAACCCTAATCCATATTTTTTGACGATTGCGCTTCCGTCTACTCTGTTGCGTTCGTCATTCTCTCTAAAATGTTCCATTGACTTACGCGAACCTTCTCTGTTTCCGGCGTCTTGTGCTTACAATAAAATTGACACACTCGATTTTAAATCATCACACCTCCAAATAATCCACTGCTAAAAATCTTTTCAGATAATCTGACTGTAGCTTTTGGCCGTTGTGGAATTGCTTTCCTCTCCAAATGCCGATCTGAAGAATCGGGTGACCGGAGCAGATCTAAAACAAACTAATAAATACAATATCATCTTCAGGTAAAATTTATTGTTTTCAACGAAATTAAGAAATACATCATATTTTCTAATTACTTAATATCAGTTCAATAATTATTTGTTTAAATTTATTCGTCTCTCTAATATTATTGTTCATGCAACTGATTTAATTTTAAAAATCTTTTTTTTTTCAATTTAGTAACTTTTTTTTTTTTTTTTAATTTTTCCCTCTCAAAACTTTATTAGAATGAACAATTAAATTGTTGTCGATGAACAAAATTGTAAGTATAAAAAAAAATAGGTTAATCTTACTTTTTAAAATCGCATACTCTAATTTTTTTTTCAGTAAACGATAAATTAATTTATATAATAAAATGTTAACATAAAAATACTGGAATGTATTACCTGCTTCCTATCTAGTGAATTACCCGATTCCTTTACATTTGATATGTAATTGCCTCTAGGAATGAGTTATGAGTTTTTTCCTTAAGAAATTATAACAAAAAATAAACAACAAAACAGAGGCGTAGTATTAAAAAAGATTTAAAAAATTTTCTGTATTATTAATATTTTGAATTTTGAATCCTATAATAACTATAATCAAAAGCGTTTGGTTTCTAATATGTTCAAATATGATGTAATAAATGTATGTTATTAATGTTTATTTGGAAATGAATAATCTTCCAATCATAATAAGATTAATAACTAAATTAGCGGCGCTGAGCATTCTCCAATAACCATTAATCACAGTTGTGTTAACCAATGCACTGAACTATGCAGTGCCTATGCAATGAATGCAAAATAATAATAATTCCCAAACATCAGAAACCAAAAGCACTGAACTATGCAATGCATATGCAATGAGTGCAAAATAATAATTCCCAAGCATCAGAAACCAAAAGCCGTGACTGTTACTTTTCTATCTCAAAACGTTGCCGTTTTCTTTGGGCGGGAAAGTTATGTGGCCAAAAACATTTTGATATTATATAGAGTAAGAAGATAAGAAGATAAGATATCATATTCATAGTTTTACAGTAATTAGGGTACAATGTAATTGTCATAATTGTCCTTTTAATAATTAATTAGGATGCTGGAGTATTTTTTTCTCCTTAAATCTAATCCATTAATCTACTTTAATCTTAGGGTCCATATTTGTCCAACCCTATATATATATATATATATATATATATATATATATATATATATATATATATAGATGGTGATTTTCTGGTCCTCAGTCTATTTACCATAAAAATGCAAGGGTAAAATAAGAAATTTCTCCCAATATTCTTTATTTTCAAGTTACCGAACAAGTGAGAGAGGTTGTACCGCCGGAAGGAACCGTCGCCGCCAGGGCCGGCCCAGAGGGGCGGGCGGGATGGGCACCCGCCCTGGGCCCAACGTTGGGAGGGCCCCTAGTTTGGATTTTTATTTTTAATGAAGTTTAAAAAAAAAAAAAAAGCTTGCATATGTAAAGATTTGAAACAATGACTTCAAGACTGTCGGGACAGAGGGGA